TGTTAATGTTGCTATATGATTTTTGTTGGATTTTTTAGATGATTTAAATAGGACTTTAGGATAGTTGTTTAGGAGTATTCTTTAGTGAATTCCTTTGGTGCACCCTTGAGCTTTGGATTTAATTTGGGCATTTTGGTTTAGATTTAACTTCTAATTTTTCTACCATAGCATGTTGATACATATAGGGTGATATAGTATTTTCTTTAGATTTTTTAGGATTGATTTTCCTTTAGTTTCCTATTTTACCAATTTGACCTTAGAATAGATGATCATTAGGAGATAACACTTGATGTTTCTGTAGCAATTCAAGTAGGTGATGATATTTCCCTAGGATTATTTCCCTTTCAAATACTCCTTTGCTTAATTAGGATCCTTCATTGTGGGTATAATTCCTCCTGTGGAGGAATTCCCTGCCTTTCACATTGGAGTTGAGACTAAGCAAGCTTTCTAAAGGAAATGGATTTGGTTGAGTGTCTGTGGCAGGTTCCTGTGGAATTTACCTTGCTTCTCATTTCCATTCTCCTAAAGTTCTCTCATTCTTTCCTCTTTAGGAACCTTCTTGAGGTAGCACAGTCCCTCCTGTGGGGGGAATATGGCACACCTCTTGAAGGAGCCAAACCCTTAGGTTTCCCCAAAGATCTTTTTGTTGGTTGAGTGCCTGGGATAAGCTCCCATGGAGTTTACCCTAGCTTCCCAACACTCAATTTTCTTCCATAAGATAGAAGCTTGTTTGATTGCTTGTGGATTCCTTTCTTTCTCTTGAAGATGGTGGACTTGAAGAACAGATACAGACTTTGGATTGGATTGCTGTCAGAAGATTGCTCTGCTATGGAGATTGCTGGCTTGTTTTCCCTGTCTGTTTTCTTCTTATTTAACTGTATTGATGTGTATTGATGTGACTTGCTTGGTGTGTTGCATTTAGATTAGGTCATGTAGTTGAATAAGCCTAAGAGCATCCTAAGGGTTGAGTTTCTCCCCTTGCTTGTATTGCATTAGAGGTTGAGTTTCTCCCTCTGCTTGTATTTTTACTGGATGGCTTTGCTTGATGGTATTTGGTAGAGCTCAGCTCCCTTGCCTGTGTGTTTTGTGGTTTGTTTAATTGCATTTACTTTCTTTTACTATCTTTACAGTTATTCATATCTGGCTTGAGGTTGAGATGAGCTTGTGGAGGCTTCTGCCCCACACATATTTCCTCCCTCACTTGCATTGCATGCATCTTTATAGTAATTCCTATACAGTTTTTCTGTTTACTGTTTGATTTCCATTACCATGTTCCCTTAGGAGCTCTGACTTCTCTTGTTCAAGAGAAATTATGACAGACATTAGGATTCTAACCATGCATGATAACATTAGTTAGTTTCCCCTTTAACCTCAACCGTAGGACGAATATTGCATGATAACTGTAGGATCAAGGCAGTTTCCCCGTAGAGAGTCTGTTTCTCTTCTTATCTCAAACAACAGTAAAAAAACATAATAAAGGCAAGTCCTTAAGCTACTTAGGAAATGATGTTTGAGCGGTCTCCTCTCAATCGTCTAGAGTGTTTAGTATATGTCCTTTGGACGATATGCGACGCATTCGCTCCTAAGTCCTAGTCTCTAGTGCTGTGCCAACTACATACAACTAAAAAACACTTCTTCCGTAAAAGACTCAGAAAACAAAGATCAAATATCCTTTTTTGTCCTCTTGGACCCTTTATCAGAAAAACTCTTTGCGTAAAGAGAGTTACGTTAACTTTCAGTTCTACCGCAAACGGTAACGCATACGTCTCCAAGGATCGAGTTGCAAACACCAACTGCTGGAACTGTCTGTTAACTTTACTTAGATAAAAAATAGTTGAACAAACTTGTGTTCTTCGTAGCCCGAACTACGTTTGCTCTGATCTTTCATTCCGTATGAAAGTATGTAGGCACGAGATGCGATATCTCGGCGAGCAACCTTTCCCCCTTGTAACCCGTAGTTAGGCGAACTACGTTGACTCTGATTTCTCGTTCCAGACGGGAATACGTAGGCATAAAGTGCGATACTTTGCCGAGTCATTTTCTTTTCTTTTTAGACCAGACCTTAGTGTAGATAGATTCAACAAACCCGTCAGATAAACACAACAAGCATGGATCCCATCGAGTACGATGGACGTGAGGGGTGCTAATACCTTCCCCTTCCGTGACCGACTCCCGAATCCAGACAATGGTTGTGATGACCTTGTCTTATACCTTTTCGTCAGGTTTTTCCGATCGTTTCCTTTCCCGTTCTGAGGGATAAATAACGAAAGGCGGCGACTCTTTTGTTTTGCCGACACCTTATTTTCGCAGTAGCGACACCTGGCACAAGAGTTTGAAACCTTGAGAACATGGTTTCAATATCTTCATCATCCTTCATATTGAACAGCTCATATTTCTGCACCAGCAAGCTAGCTTTAGCTTCTCTAACTTGTCGATTCCCTTCATAAGTAGAGCATAAATATTTAAAGATAGTATTCGTACAAGACTTATCAATGATTTTCAAGTACTCAGCAAGTGGTAGAGCATCAACCAGAATACCTCTGACTTTATGATGTTTTCTATAGATTTTCTTTTGAGTTGGAGTCATAGTTTTCCTATCAGATACCATACCAACACTGTCAATAGCAATTTCAATGCCATCTTCAAGTATATCCCATAGCTCATCATCGCGTCCAATGATAGACATGTTTATCTTGCTTTTCCATTATTCAAACTCAGTGGAGTCACCACTGAATACAGGAGGTTTAGCAGAGTAATGATTTCTCTCAAAGCTACTATAATCATAGGGAAATCCCCTTACAGAGGAACTATCATTGGTATCCTCAGTAGCCATATTTTTCTTGTTGTACCTTTGATTGTACCACTGTTACGTTTTACGTACAAACCTTGCTCTAATTCCAACTCAAGGTGAGAAAAATACACAATAAGGGGGGATGGTTGAATTATGTTTGCAAAATTCCTTTTACTTCTGAACCAGAATTCATATTTTAAACCAGAGTTCAAAACCTTATGATAAGTTCAGCAGAAAATTTAACAGAAGAAAATAAAAACAACAAAGAACACACAACAGTTATCATGGTTCCTCTCCAACTGAGAATACTCCAATCTCATTTCCATGCAAGAGATTTCCACTATAGTCAACTTGATTACAACTGCTTATACTCAAAAGTATAAGACTTTCCCTACTCAGACCTACAGTCTAAGACTCTTTGCTCAACAAGCACCTGATCAAGGCTTCTCTGCTTAGATCCTCAGATTCTAATACTTTTCTTACTTAAACCCACCTAGTTCAAGTCTTCCTTCCTCAGACACCCTGCCTAAGACTTTCCTTGCTTAGACTCTCTGCCTAAGACTTCCCTCGCTCAGACTCTCTGCCTAAGACTTCTCTGCTCAAGCGCACGACATGAGACTTATATCTAAACCGACTATTTAGAGAAGGAATAACTTACAAAAACACTTGATTAACAATCAAAGGTGTTCAAATATTATACAACACACTTTTACATAAAGGATTCTTAAGATATACAAGAATAAGAACACTTTAATAGATTAGCCTCTCTTTAGCTGCATGTAGTGCGATGGTATCTCAGTTGTAGTTATAGTGTTATTTCTTAAGTTGATCTTCCAATCTTCTGTTCCTTTTATAGCTAAAGAATTATAGTTGTCGAAGTACCCACAATGGCTATAATCAGATCAAACCTTCTAGTACATCTTTTCCAAGAAGGTAGATGTTAGAATTTGCAGTGAAGGAATCTTCCACAAAACAAGGCCTTTTTCTGGAGATAACTTCCATGAAAGAAGTACAACACAATCTTTTGAAGATAATGTCAATATATCTCGAGTCCCGTGTTAGCAGAGCTTGAGTTGACACTACTCAGTTTCAGAGTTAGCCATAACACGCTTCTGATTCTAAAGTGTACTAGTAGTAATTTTCTGATCAGACTCTCTCACAAGTGTATAATCAAAACTGAATCAAAGCTACTTTTGAGTTAGAACCAGTTACATCAAATAAATACAACTCTGCACACATGAAACAGCTAGTTAGAAATCCTAATTGTTTTTTCAAATAACTTGTTATCATCAAAACTTTAGAGGATACAATGGTAAGAACCAAATCTGTCACAATATTATGCACTCAAGTTGACAGGGTAATCACTCATTCAACATACAAAAGAATTTAACAATGAATTTGAAAACTTTCTGATCGATTCAATCAAAGTCTTATTTAAACACATACTTTTTATGTATTTTTCAGGTTGTAACGTGGCTTATGTTAGAATAGAATAATTTTGGATAATATGCTTAAATCTTTGGAGTAAGGTACCTAGTTTTTCTGATGTTATCGATTTCCTTCCATTTCACTCTTTCATAATGTACTGGGTACTGTAGAATTGCATGTTGTTTGTCATATTTTTCACAATTTTTTTAATAATCTATATTTAAATTATTATTATTATTATTTTTCTTTCTTTTTATTTGTTTTTAACCAATTTCTCTAGTACCCCAACCCCAAAAAAATTTGTTGCTAACTTCCAAGAAAAACCCCTGACTTATTCTTTTGCATCAACAACTAAAAAAATTATTTCTACTTAACTCTGAAGATGGTGAAATTTTTTTATCCTTCAAGTTAATGGCTATATAATATGGCTATGTCACCGAAAGAAAGACTTTAGGATCAAAGGGGTTAAAAAACGGATATCATCATATTAACACAGGATGACTTAAAAAGGCTCAAAGTTTTCACAAACAACAACTTCAGTATGTACTTATCAGACCAATAGACTCAAATTAAAAAAATGAAAATATATTTGAATCACTTAAGCCTAATTTCATGATTTCAAGCTTCTAAAGCCACCTTCAAGCATCACCCAATCTTCCTTCAATGTTCTTCATGCCAAGTCTTCACCATGATTCCTTCATCAATCTAAGGTTCCCTCAAACTCCCGGTCCAAGCATTTTCTTCCCAAAGATCACGTCTTGATTTCCAACAGACCCAATATTTATGGATAAGTACTTGAGTCACTGGTTGTTTCAAATGACGTGGAGCTATTTAAGCTTGCTTTAGCACCGCTACCAGTCCACATGCACCAATTTATTAGCAAGTATTTCCAAAACCTACATAATTTAAAGTCAAAAGGACCATTAATTCCAAAACATACAGGATGATGTGAGCAAATTGCGACAGAAACAAAATCACGGCAAGAAACCACATCTGATTATTTTCTTTCTAAAACCATAATCGACAGCAAATCTCGCATTCATTTTCCTTTCCAAAGCAAAGAGCCGACAAAACAAATCTCAAATTAACCAGTCCCTCCCATTCAAAATGCAAATAGAAGGATTTAATCACAATCAACATAATTAATATAGCACATGAAATTGGAAATTTTTGAATCAAGCAATCATGGAAAAATCTCATGAATAAGGCAAAGAAGATCACATGTTCATGACATAATCAGAATTCAATGGTATCCGCATTTTTTCTTCAAAAGCATCTATCTCGCACGTTTAATTTTAAAATTGTAAATTGATGTCGCAAAGTCTATAAGAGAGGGAGCATCTCACAAGGTTTCAGGGAGAATAAAGAGAGCAACATATACACACATAACAGAACAAGAGAAGCAAGAGGTTCACCATGATTTTTCAACAACATAGCATCAACAACAAGAAATAGTAGAAAATTGAGAAGAAAAATCATCAACAATTTGAGATAGGCACATCCCATACGCACGAATTCAAAGCAAAGCAGTCACATACGCATATACAAAGCAACATGAAGTGAACGACAACAACAAAGTTTCAGCAGCTCGTACCTAAAATTCATCGTCGTAAGTATTTTCTTTCGTAAATTTGTCATGTTGTTGTTATTGTTCGTGTCGAAATCTTGAGCGATTGAAGAACGGAGGAATGGAGATCGAAGCATATGAGAAAGATGATGGTGTGGAGAAAACGTCGCTGCCGCCGTCTAGTAGGCCATGGCGCGGTGGTTTCTATCATCACCTGGACGCGATCAAAGTCGTAAGGGAATCATGGTTGGTGAAGGAAAACATGCCGCGAGGGAAAGAAGAAGAACATTTTAAGTTCTTCTATTCTTCTGTTTCCTTTGATTCACATATGAAACGTGGGTGGGCCCTGGGTGCTCAAGCCCAAACATTCTTTTATTATATACACTCATCCTTTTTTGGGAACTTTCCTTGGGCTTGGAAGCTAGCCCATGTTATTTTCCATAATATCCTTTTTTGGCACCCATTGATTTTATTTTTAGAATAGTTATTACTTTCGTTTTTTTTAATTTAATTATGATTTTAGGCTTTAATGATTAATTTAAAATGTGATGTCCATGTTGATTTTGATTTTGTTTAAAATCTTGATCTGACATTAGTTTCGATGCTAATGATTGGTCGTTGATCTAAATTTAGGATTAATTTTAGATTTGAATCTGTTATTAATTATTGGTTCATATTTGTGAGTAAATTCTTGTTTTAGAGTTATAAAGATATGACTAGGATGCATCCTGGTAGATGTTTTTTTGCTATTAATTATTAGTTGTATGATTGTCTATGTTGCTTTGTTGCTTGACTGTATGATTTTCCATCATTCCCTTTAACTTCTTGATTCAATTTTATCTTTGGTAAATTAAATTAGGATAGATAATTAGACTTTAGGATCATTTCTATTGCATGATGACATTAGGGTAGCTCCCTTCAATCCTAACCTCTGAGTGGTAGAATCAGGATAGATTTCCATTTTATCAACAATCTTTTCTTAACCAAAATTCAAAATACTTAATGTTATATCATAAACAATTTTAGAAAACTCAAGGAGAATGTATCTAAATACCCCTAGTCTTTAAGGGACCATTTGGTGCATCTCTTAACAAAATCAATCCCCAAATTCAAACCATTTTTTCTTCAAGCTTCTCCCTTTAAAACCTTTTCAAAAAGGGCAGGCTACTTTCGTTCTACCGCAAACAATAAATGTCTCTAACCGCTAGAATACGAATTTAGAATCGTCCATAAAAAATTATACAACCGACAAACATTTTTCAATAAGAACTATAGAGTTCTGATTTCCTCTAGGATACATAGTCATTGGGTTGCAAAACTCGAACGAACTCAATAATAAAAACATTTTCTTTTTCCACAATAATATATTTCTGCATTCCCTTAGCAAGCAAGTCTTTAGATATAACACCCTTTTGATTAGAACAACAAAAGTGGATCTCATTGAGTACAGCGTACGTGAAGGGTGCTAACACCTTCCTCTTGCGTAATTGACTCCCGAACTCGAATTTGGTTGCGAGACCATGTTCATTCCCTTTTGAGATTTTCTCGATTTTTTCCTTTCTTCGTTGGGATAAATAAAGTACGATGGTGACTCTGTGTCATTTTTTCGCGTAGTGACGGTGGGTAGGCTGGCACAAAATCTTAACCCAACCAGGCATTTTTGACGGGTGAGCGGGCTCGCCTGACGGGCTCTGATCCGTTTTTCCACCCCTAATTAAGGCCATCACATAATTACTTCGGACTATGAGGGACAAATACGTCCAACCTAACCTTTTTCTTCCATGAAAGAGTGAAATTGATTCGGTTATTTAATGTGGTTTGTGGCAGATGACGAATATTCGAACGGTAGGCTAATTACGACCATCACATGAATATTCAGGATTAAAAGGGACATGTGCGTCCAACCTAACCTTTTTCAATCGGTTATTTATAACAAAAAAGAGTTTCGAGGCAATTAATATTGAATATGATTTGATAAGATTAAGTGATGAGTACATGTTTAAAAGTGTTTTAATTTGTTTTTAAAACGTGTGATGTCACATGCAGGTATAAATGTATGTTTAAAGTAGCAAGTGATAGAAAATCAAGGATATCGAACTAATAGGGAGTGGAAAATAAATTAGTTTAATTTTGTAAAACAATCTTTTGTAAATGAGAAAGATTAACAGTAATGTATAGTTGTCACTGTTACTACTCGAAAAAATGCAACGACATCGAGGCGAAAGTGGAAGAACAAAAGAGTTGCCATCGAACTTTATTTATCCCAAAAGGGGAAAGGAAAACATTGAGAAAACCCCAAGAAGGGAATGGCTAAGATGGTCTCGCAACCAAAAGAAAGGGTTCGGAAGTCGGTTATGCGAAGGGAAGGTATTAGCATCCCTCACATCCATCGTACTCGATGGGAACCATTTGCTTCTCTATGTGTGAGGGTATTTGCTAAAGATATTTCTTTCTAAGAGTGTTCTACAGGGAGATGGAAGGGTTGGTAACAAAAAATGAGAGAAAAGAGAAGGTGAAAAATAAAAGGAGACTCGGTAAGACCTCGCGGTCCTATACCTACGTATTTTCAACGGGTATGAGAAAGTCAGAGTCAATGTAGTTCGGAGAACTATGAATAAAAAGAATAGAACTGTGCTCGCCAAGGATTGGGGCCCTTGTGCCTACGTATCTTCACTTAAAAGAAGTGAAGAATCAGAGTGTCCGTAGTTCAGACTATGATTTATTGGTGCTTTTTTATGGACGATGTTAACATGCACGTTCTAGTAGTTATGTGTATTGCAGCTCGCTTGTGGAGTCTTAGGCGTTACCTGTTTGCGATAAAACAGACGTAACATGTCCTTTTTGAAAATAAATAGTTTTTGCCATCAAGGCAAGATGTCATATTTGATTTGTGAAAAGTTACTTTTACGGGTGAAATAAGTCCTCGGATAGTAACCCCTTGCGGGTAGTATCAAATTCTTTATCTAAAAAGATTTATTATAAAAATGGTGTGGCGGATATAGTCACGTCTTTGTATTGAAAGACGAGTATCGAGACCATACACTCTAAAGTGAGTATCCTAATACTCGGAGAGGAAGAAGTCTGCATTCAATCCTCTCTTTTTAGTTCAATACAAAAAGAACCTTATTTTCTTATTAAAGATGTTTTGACTTTGAATGGTAAATGCTTTATGACAGTGAACCCTAAAGGTAATGTCAAGCACTCGGGATAGGACAAGGCTTTTGCCTAACCACTCCACAACCACCCAAGTTTATTAGGAAAAAAAAGTTTTGAAAATGCAATTGGTACAAGACCAAGGTTTTTGACTTAAGAAGTGAAGAGGAAAATAAATGAAAAAAAAAAGAGTTTGAAAAGGTGGTGAATAAAATAAGGTAGGTTGATGGCGATGCGCGAAGAAATCGACTTACAAAGGTGAAACCCATACAAGGTTGGTGTGGGGTTTTTAAAGTGATAAGAGATGAGGAGAGGAGAGAAAAGAAACCCTAAGGGGTGAATCAAGTTAAATAAGTTTGAAAATGACTTGACATTGAATCAAGTCTTATTTGTCCCTTTTATTTCGAAAGGTGTTCTAACCTAGTTCATTTTAACTTTCTTAACAAGCAAGCAAGCAAAGATAAGAAACCAAAAGAAATTTACTATTACATTATAAATGGGGAAAGGGAAACATAGTATCCACTAGGGGGAGATGATTTATGATACATGGAAGGTATGAGTAAGAATGTACAAAGATGCACTAAAAGAGAAACATCAAAACAAGATAAAAGGTCAAAATCATCAAGATAATAAAAGAATAGTCATGAGTACAAAAACATGTAAAAAATGAAGCAAATGATCAAGACATGTAATATATGAGATGAAAATAACATGGGCAGCAATCACATCAATCTGCAACTCATCAAAGTTCAATCAAAACAAGTCATGAGAATAATATCCAAAGCATGATCAAAACACAAGTCAAGTAATCTCATAATGAACCAAGGGTCATGTGAAGTGTGTGTGAGGTAATGTGATCATGAAATGAGGGCACAAACACCTTGACCAACAAGTTAAACATCTTACATGAAACATATAAAGATCAATAAGCTTCAACTAACACATGTAAAGAAGTATCAAAGCAAGACTAGCTCAAAAGATGGCTAAGTGAAACACTCAAACAAAACCAAACTTGTAAAATCAACAAAAAAAAAGGAAAAAAGGTTCAAAGACCATGAAAACAAAGAAAAAAGGACCTCAAGGAAGTCTGTTATCATATTCCAAAATGCCACAAGTTATGATCAACCTTAACTAGGTCAAATGATCAATAAGCTAGGCCTATGGCTCAAACATGAGGAATTACCAACAACCCTCAAAGAGGCTTCCATCAAAAATAGAAAGTCACTCAACTAAAATCCCAAAAAAAAAAAACAAGATTTAAAAGACATATTTAATCAATTGCAAAAGATGGGAAGAAGATAGGTTAAGGACAAAGCCCAAAATGGTTGAACCACACAAGCTAAGCCTACAATCAGGTGTGAATCGAGGGTCAAAAGATGAGAAATGGCAAGTTACTTTAGGTAATTCAAACTAAGCCCCAAATAGAATCCCATAACCCTTATTTTATGGTCCTAATGTTTCTAAAAAATTAGCCTCAAAAGATGAACACAAGGCACTTAAATCCTCAACCCTAATTCAAGGGTATCAATGGAAATAACTCTTGCAAATAAATCAAAATAAAATAGAAAAAACAATTTTAAAAATAAAATAAAAATGTGATAAAATAATTGAGACATTAAAGAGTGTAAAATATAATTTTATGAATTTTTCTCATGCTTGGAACAAGTGAATATAAATTAAAATGAAAGAAGAAAATAAAATAAAATTAACAGACAAAGGGGGTGAGAAAGTAATTCATGAATGTACATGATTCAGGTTAAATGGTGCATTTGGCCCAAATATTGGGAGTGTAAAGAGCAAAAAAAAAACACAAAGCCCAGTCCAATTCAAACTTGAAACCAACAAAAAAATAGTGTGTGGCATCCACCTCAGCCTCATTAATTGAGATGGCATCCAATCAACAACATGAATGGCTTAGATCAAGCCACCTCAAAGCATTTGAATTCAAAAAATGGCGTCAGATGCCACATAAGCTCAACCCTAA